GATGGGGATGCGAACCCGCGACCCGCAGATTGCGAGTCGCACAGCTCATGACTGCCTTGCAGTAATTTATGCTTTACATTAAAGCAAAATGTGATCAGAAGATTTGCTACAATTAATAACATTTTTAAATTTTGAAGAAAATAAATTGTACATTCTTACGCACAATGTGGACTTTACTTGTGGCTAATACATGATTAATTAACATTAAAATACAAGGCAAAAGTTTAGCTGAAATTCAACTTCAACCGTCAGTTTGAACTATGATGCTGTAGATTTAGGATTTTTCCTCATAATTCACCTAATTCTAGTTATATAAAAGTTTCATTTCACTCAAAGATGAATGTTTACATTTACATATAGAACACTAAAATTAATTACCGAATAATAATATAGTAATAATAAAAAAATAACTTACAAACACTGTCAGATTAGGGAAACGTTTACTCTCAAAGGGAAATGACTGATCATCAACAAGGTGCCAGTGAAATACATTGAATTTGTTGTATGACATTGCATCCTGTAGAGACAAAGAAAAGCCTATATTTGTAACACATAAGCATATAGACGAGTAAAGCGGTGATCTCAGATCAACCAATTTTGAATATTTTCAAGAATTGTTGAAATAGTTCATGAATTTCAAGTGAAAAATTTCTTAAGTAGGTTGAAACTAAAGATGTTTAATTGTTTCTTACTAATTTTCATCCATGTTATGATAAATCATAGAGAATTCTTAGTTTTTAAGATACATATCAACATCCAAAGATTACATTTTCTTTTCAAACAATCACAAGTTATAAAAGGAATATAATGAAAATAGGGTACTTTTAGAAATCATTTGAAATATTTCACATCACCATGATATACCTGGAGTCCTGAAATTTAGCTTGAAATACACTTTCATCTCATACCATAGAATTATGAATTTGCACATCACCAGAAAAAACTCAAACTTGGTTAAATGTAGACAATTTTGATGACAGAAATTTCTTTGAAATTCAAGGTTATATGTTAGTTAATGGGAATAAAGTACTAAAAAAAGTGAAGGAAGAGTGGTTTCATACAAAAATGTGAGTTATATTCTGTTGAAGTTGAGGATATCAAAGCTAATACCAAAGCAGTTGGATCTATTTGGGCTTTTGTTAGCAAATATGAAAGAAGGTTTTTGGTATGAATTTGTTATGGACCAACAGATAAAATTGGTAAAACTATGGAGAACCTTTACAGTGATATAAAGAATTCAGGAGTTAATGTGATCATAATTATGGGGGATTGTAATTTCAGGTATTTAGATTGAGAAATGTTAGGGTCAAACCATGATGGAGCCACATTTCTTCACCAACTGGTCAGAGAACCTAGTAAATACAATGCTATTTCAGATTGATTGTTAATTTCTGACATATAAATGGTTGACAGAGTGGGAAACATCTGGGTGGAAGTGATCACTGCTCAATTAGGTTTCATATTTTGTTGCATATGCAGATCAAGAATAACGAGATTTTAGTTACAACTTTCAAAAAAAGCAAATTTTGAAGAGATGAGACAAGGATTATCTTTTATGAATTAGGAAACTGAATTAATTGGAGATACTGATCAAATGTGGAAAATTTTTTAAATAAATTTTTAAACATTCAAGATATACATGTTCCTCAGAGAAAAAAGGATAGCTCCAAGTAAAAGAACCAGGTTATCGAACCAAGGGTATAAGGGATAAAATTAAAGAAAAGTATCACGAGTTAAAGTTTAAATTGACTGTTATGACAGGAGACTTAGAGGATTAAAGAAGATCAAGACAGTTGGCTAACCCTTTTGCTGCAGGCTTGTGCAATGGAAATCGAGTCACGAATTTCACTTGTACAACAATACACGCAGGAACTCTGAAATTTCTTAATGTATTCTCTCAAAAACTGGTAAGCTTTCGTTAAAGATCATAAGTATCTTGTACACAAAGCATGACATTATTATAATTAAGTGTTTATACTAAAAATATGTTATTTTTTTATTGTAGTTACTAGCATTGAAACTATTAACAAATTGAGGTGCAAGGTGATTTTCATTTTAAGTCTAAAAATACTTTTCTTCATCTTATAATTTTCATATTTCAAAGTTTTTTAAGGTAAATGTATATATTATATTTTTCTACCATATCACTAACTTTAGCTATTGTCATCAACATACAATGCAATGAGATGATTAAAACTAGGAAATAGGAAAAAAACAACCTACCTTTTAATTTCTTTAAAGATTTTCCTTTTGTTAAATTCTAATTTCAGTCATTTCACTTTTCACATATACTTAATTTTTAATGTCTTATTTTTCTTTCCTGTCAGTTACCACTTATTATTCAGAAGTCAACAGTTCCTTTGAAGCATATTACAGTTTCTTTGGGGGACATGGGCAACCCTTTGGCCAAATTTTTGTTCAGTGCATAATATCGTAAGCCTTGAGAATGGATGCAAATTAATAAGTATATTTAATAAATTTTTTAAACCTTTTAATTATACATTTTAAAACATAACTAATACATAATTAACTAACATTTAATAGTGAGACCTAAATATAATTTAAACTGTGTCTCTGATTATAACATATTTAGGTAAGAAACAATTGTAAGTGCTATAGTCAATCAAGCAGCCAAAAATAGTACAGTCAATTACATGTAATCCACGATGACAACTGAGTGCTAATTTTAAAATAACTGTTGTTAGATTATAGTGTAAAATGACATCTTTCTAATGAGTATACACGTGTATGTAACAACTACATGTAGGTTATAAAGCTCAAACAAATCTGTTGAAGGTGGGCATGGCAGCTGACAGGATTGAAAAAATGTATTACTTTTTTCAACTGTATTCATTCAGAGAACTTTGAAATGAACGAGTCAAAAGGTTATGTAAACAGCTTATTGTTTAGATGTACTTCTACTCTATTACCACTGTATTATTGAAGAACCAAAGTAGAGATTTTTCATAGCTCGTTGTTCATGTGACAATACATCTGAAGTTTCAAGTAGTTTTTTTAAAGGTTTATTTTGATATAAAAAACTTAAAACTTGGATAAAATAAAACTTCAAATCATAACATACATTATAATATTAATTTCATTTACATACATTGATAGTAAAGGTGTTCAATTAAACTTTGAATGTAACACAGTGACTTGCACAGAAAAGCATTTAAAGTGACTCCCACTGCTAAAGGGTTAAATGATAAAGATTTCTTTAAATACATTAAGGGCAGGCAAAATGTTAGGATGGTAGTAGGGCCTTTGAGAGATGATACAAGAAAGCTCATACCTGATGATTATGAAATGGCTGGTCTACTAAATCCTGCTTTATCTCCAGTTTTTTACCTATTTACATTTAAGCTTTTTAAGAAAGAATTGGGAAGTTTAGAGAATGATAAAACTTCTGGGCCAACTAATATTTCACCGAGGGTTTTGAAGGAGGTTAAAGATTAGATATGTGAAAAGCTTGCTACTATTTTTTGTAAGTCCCTGAAAAGTGGGCAGGTGCCAGAAGGTTGTAAGTTGGCTAATGTTACACCTCTTTTCAAGGGAGGTGATAAAAAGTGTCTCAGTAATTATAGGCCTATTAGTCTTACAATAGTTGTGGGAAAAAATTTTGAAAATCTGATAAAAGATACTTTGAAAAGTCATTTAACAAATTTCAAAACTATGTTGGATTGTAAACATAATTCCACTGGAGGAAAATCTTACTTACTAACCTTTTTATAATATTTGAAGAAGTTACTGCTTATGAAGATGAGGGTACAGATGTAGATGTTGTGTCTATGAATTTTTAGAAAGGACTTGAAAAGATGCCACAAAGAAAGCTTATTAATTAAAAACAATTATCTCTGTAGGTGTGAAGGGATAAGTTGGCTCATTGGATAGAAAAATGGTTGTGTGAAAGAAAGCAGGGGGGGTTGTTAAAAATGGAGTTCAGTCAAACTGGATTAATGTTATAATGAGGTACACCTCAGAGCTTAGTGTAAGGAAATTTGCTCTTTTTTTATTTTATTTACATTAATGATGAAAATGAAAGAATGGTCAATAAATTAGTTAAATTTGCTGATGATATTAAGGTCTTGGGTATTGTTGGCTGTAAGGATGATGCTGTTGCTTTAAAAGATTTGGGTTATTTGGTGATTTGGGCAAATAAATGGCAGATAGCTTTTAATTATAATAAATGCAAAATAATACATGTGGGACATCATAAACTGAATTATAAGTATAATTTTGATGGGAATGAACTTGACAGTGTTATGGAATAAAAGTATCTTGGTGTTCTGGTTGGTCAATCTCTTAAGTCATCCAAGAAATGTGCCGTTGCTAGTGGTAGGACAAATAGGATTTTATGTTGTATCAACAGAAGTACTGAAAACAAGTCTTAAGATGTTATAATTTCAATGTCTATGTTACTGATTAGGCCATTTTTGAGCATTCTGGTCAGTCTTGGTCTCCTTACCATAGGAAGGACGTTGGATTGTTCAAAATTCTTTGAAGGATGGCAACTAGGATCAGGGGTGATCTTAGTCATTCTGGAGCCCCAGGCAGAATTCAGTAAATAGGGCCCCATAATGACAAGTAAACTCAGTAATCAAACTTTAAATGTAGAACATATGATCATCAGGGGGCCCTTCTATGTTTGGGGCCCCAGGCAATTGCCCAGTTTATCCAATAGGTAAGACTGCCTATGATGAGGATCATACATGGGATAGAAAGATTGTCATACAAGGACAGGTTAAGACCTCTGAAATTATTTTCTCTTGAAAAAAGAAGAGTTAGAAGGGGATCTGATTGAGGTTTTTAAGATTTTCAAAAAAACAGAAAGTGTTTCAGCATCATCTTTTTTTATACTTAATGGAGAGAATGGTAGGACTAAGGGTCACAAAAAATACGTTTTTCAGGACAGAAGTCATCTTAAACTAAGGGGGTTTTATTTTTTAAAAGGATGGTTGGCTTTTGAAATGGGTTGCCTTCAGATATGGCGGATGCAGTAAATTTAAGGAAGTGTAAGGGAAGGTTTGATAAACATTGAATGTCAAAGGTTGCATCCCTTTGGGTATTTTATTTTTAAAGTTTAGTGGATGGGATGGCCTAGCTACACCAATAGGTCCCTTGTTGTCCTTAAATGTTACAATATACCTAGAGTCCTTAAATTTAGGTAGAAGTAAGCTTTCATATTATACCATGGAATCATTAATAGAACTAACAAACTTAATATTTCAAAAAGTTCAAGGATTTTTCTTTTTTCTAAACTAAAAAAACAAGGTAATATACAACCTTAATAAAGTTTTGAGAAAAAAAGCTCAAAGAAGAATCACACAAAAAAAACTCCAGAAGATACAAAAACAATTAGGGACTATTATAAACTTCTTTTGACAGCTGCACAAATGGAGTTGTAAGGACGTACCTAATCAAACCACCACCGTTGCCCCTTCCACCCTCTTACTTAGTAATGACTTTAGTTATGTATTTAGATATATTAGATAACTTGCCACTCAAGTTCACTCATGTTTAAAAACTGATGCTCAATCCATGCTCAATTTAAGTGCTGTTTACTCACTCTAATTAGATTAAAGCAGTCACTTTACTTTGCTAATGAAAAATCACAGCTGAGAGACTAGGATAACTGTCGATATGATCTGACAACAAAAAGTATAATTCACTACCTTTAGAATTTTGAAAATAAAGAAACAAACAAATGCTTTGGTTTAAAATAGAACTGTATGAACAAATGACTTTGGTAACCACTCATTTTTGTGCATGACTGTATATTAGAATAAGCCTCAGAAACAACTGTCAGCATATACATTAGCTTTTTTTACTAATAACAAAACTGTATCTATTAAGTATTACTCATATTGACAAATGGATACTATGGTGGAAATGAGACTAAGAATGATATGACAGGATCTTCACTCTCTCAGTGTTTCGACTACAAGTCTTCTTTAGGAGAATGTGACACTGTCAGATGTCAGAAGACACAATACAACCAATGCAATAGTAGCACATGCAGAGGAAGCAGGACACCTGCCTAAATGGAAGGACCCTAAAATTGTCAGCAAAGGGAGAGAAAAGCAACAAAGAAAAGCTACAGAAGCTACTTACATCTTATTAGAAAAGAACATAAACACCACAGCGGTAGACTACAAGTGGGCAGAAATGGCAGCGAGCACAGTGAAGCGAAAGCAGAATGCTGATTGCTCGGGTGGTGGGCAACAGACGACAATAACAAACCAATCAGGGAGTAGCATGGCACAGCGACCGGGAACCTAATTCGAGAAAATATGTATATATACCCTTGTGACGCACTAGTATCACATTCTCTTGAAGAAGACTTGTAGTCAAAACGACGAGAGAAAAAAAAAAGATGCTGTTATAGCATTCTTAGTCTCATTGCTACCTTAGTATCCATGTATCTGTTAAATTGGAAAGAAAAAATTTCTTACCAAATTTTGTTTGAGAGTCTTCATTGGTTGATAATGGCGAGCAGTGTCTAAAAGGAGACCACGGTATGTATATCGTGGATAATCTTCGATACTGGTAACATTGATTTGGTACTGAAAGAACAAAATAATGTTAGAAATATCCTAGTTGCTGTATAGTTATATGATTCACACTAGCTTGAAATATTTATAAAAGGGACAATAAAACTCGCATGACAGAAAAGTTGATAGTGACATATATACAATATAGCATATGTCAACATGACTTCACAAAGTCTTGCCACAAGAAGAACACTTCTGCCAGCAATGGGAGAACAAAAAATGCATAGTAGAGATCAAAATGGTGGATAGTAGTAACTAAACTCAACAAGACTGTGAGAATTGTGAATTAGATAAAATTGTTGGAGCTTTTGAGTGTATTATTTATTTATTTGTGTATGAGAAATGTTGCCCATTCTACAATATCATTGAAATCATCTTTAGCTCTTCATATCTGACTGATCACTGCAATGTGTAAAAAGTAATAATCCTCCAGGTGAACTGTAATTTATTAAACTTTATTATTGTGTGTTTTTATGCATAATTTTGTCTATAGGAATAATTAGTAGATAAGTGATTTTCCTTCACAATTATTCCACTAATACACAACAATGTCACCACATGTCCTGTGAAGTGTGCATGGAAGAGGCAGCAAAGTATTCCTCTAGAGAACGAGTCCATTAAAACAAGCGGTAGACCTCAATCGGAAGAGCTCCCCACGTTTGATAATGTTTGTATGTCTCCTTGTTTTGTGACATTTGTAAACATCTGTATGTCTTTATTTTGTGATGTCTGTGAATGCCCATTTTCTGTCTGTCTCCTTATTTTTTGATTTTTGCAAACACCTAAAGATGTCTATAACTTCTGGTTTTGTGATGTGTGTAGATACCTGAAGATCTAGGTCCCTTGTTTTGTGATTTATATTTATCTCTCCTTCTTTTGTGATGTCGGTAAAGACATAAAGGTCACTGTATGTCTACTTGTTTTATGATGGATGTAACTATATGAAGATATGTATCAAAATAAAATTGGTTTTGGATTTGGCAAAAGAGTACAAATTCTTCAAAAATTAAAATAATACATGACTTGGCTCTAAGGAAATGTTTTGCCCATAATGTTTTTTTTTTTTGAGGAAGCATATTAATGCATATAAACAAGCTTAAAGACTAAAAGCCTGGATTCTCACAAAATATTTGGAGAAAAACAATGTTAAATTATATAATAAACTCATGTTGTAAATTATTAAGTAACATGCCACAACAATAATTACAAATAATATAAATTGGTAAAATACTTTAAAAAACTCAAACAAAAACATATGAAAAAAAATTAAGTTTTATACACAAACAAAATTTAACTAATAAAAGAAATATTATATTATTTTTACATTTATACATATAATTTACAGACAAATAAAAAAAGTCACTCAATCATGAGCTCAGTGAATTGTGTGGTATAACTTATTGATGTAAGAGGCTTTGTGTGGTATAACTTATTGATGTAAGGGACTTTTGTGAACTTTATTATACATATTTCTCATTCCTTATTTCAATAAGTTTTTTTTAAATTTGTTTTTGAAATATATATGTTTTTGTCTCAAATATACATGCTGATTTCTTGAAACTTTAGAATATAACATTATCAAAATCACCTATCTACATAAATCAGTCACAACTCTAAATGAGACAGCCTTGCTGAGCACTTACTGCTTTGTTCTTGTCTTGATATATCAACTGACTGAAAGTCTCGAGAGCTGTAAGAAAAACATTACATAACTTGAGTATGTAATCCAGATAAAACAGCATCAACATAAAAAATTTTAGTAAAAAAAAGGACTGTAGATGAATGTTCTCACTTGAAATACGACAGCAAAAATACAAAAATAGAACACGTTATAATAAGTAATGACTTCATATACTCATATAGAACTAGATAAGTTTCGACGTATTGAAAACATGTAGTTTAATTGTAGTTTTTAAACTTTTGTTAAGTTGATTGAATCTGCTCACTGTGTCATAGTAAGTAAATAAAATAATTTATTGAATTTCAAAGGATATATCTTGGGGGGGAAGGGCCCTCAAAACCAACTTATGTTGTTTTTATCATTTCCACAACTGGAATATTCTAATCGTTATCATAAACCATCTTATACTTCATTAGATATATTTTTACACAAACGAAATGAAAAAAAACCTCTTTGTATTGGTAAAGTTTATACATTTTTCATAAAATTATCATTTTAAAGTAAACGTTTTATGACTGTTTACGTACAATCTGATCACAGCTATAATAGACAATTTAGCACCAAGGGCATGCCATCATGTTTGCACTCCCTTGCGTGTTCCATGGTAATCCATTTTGGTCATTTTTCCGCCCTTTATCACTTTGCACCTGGAGCAGTTGCCCTGATTGCCCCACCCTAGTTACAGCTCTGAATCTGATTCTCATTTGCTTGTGTCTCAGAAAACTACAGCTAAATATCAGCTATATGTGTCTCTAAGTCATGGGGAAAATCCAAATTCAACTACATTATTCTACAGTCTACTATAACAGTATTTACGACAAAGTAAGCTAAACATATGGAGACTGAAAACAACTTATAAATTAATAAAGGTAATTCATCATAAGAAATTGATTATAAGTATATAATGTCATATATCAATACAAAATTAAAACTTATAATGACTCTAGGATACAATGATTTATTAGTTGAGTATCCTCCCCATAGGTGGAATTTAAAAATCTTGTCAAATGGACAAAAACATACTTATCCTTCCTAAAATGAAAGAATATAACTTTTAGAATCTTGCTTTCATTTAAAATTGATCACAATCAATAAAATACTATTAGTGATAATTCTATTTTGTTGGGAATAGCACATATTGCATTTTAGATATAAATTCTTCATTAGTTCAAATATATATTCATTCATATATTTTATGTTTTTTAACATTTGGTCATTACGATTTTACAGTGCAGCAGGTAGAACACTCCATGCACGAACTGATAAATAAAGATTTAGATTAATTCTGCCAGAATTAAAATGATGTTTAATATATCAAACTTTACTGAGCTCTGACTGTAAACTAAACCAATATAATAATAATACCGTTTTATTAATTTAAATACATGTGGCTAAGTATAGGAAATTTAAATATATATATATTTTTGTATGTATATAGTTGTGGTTCATATCTATATGCTAGACTTCAGTGCAATTCATAATTTTCAGGAACTTGGGTGGCTCCTCAATGTGTTTTTATAGCAACGGAATGATAAAAGGTGAAAAAAAAAACCTTGTCCAATGAGCAAAATATAAGGTTAAATCTTCTTGTTTCTGGTGTCTGTCAATATGAATTCCACACTCCAGCCTCCTTGTTATTGATAAAGTTGTTTTTATATCAAGGTAGCCACCTTATTGTTTCTGTCTAGGAATGTTTTATAAACAAGATGCACATAATTGTCACAACCTATATGGAACAAATGAAATTTTACGATATCAGACTACTCCGCTTACCTCTTAATGCTCCCCATACCGTTTTAGTTTTGATAACAGCAGGCCCTGATGTTGGAACATCAATAGAATCTATGACAAAAAATCATAAGGTGCAAATTATTTCACATCTATATGACTTATAAAATTACATATCATTAGCAATATTTAGAATCCAGAATTTAAATAATTTAGTAAAGATAGTATTTGCTTTGCCTGTAAACAAAAACAATTACCACTAGATATGTGAAAAATGGAAAAGGAGAAAAGCAAAAATACGTCAAGAAATCTTTAACAAAGTCTTTGATACGAGTTCTTTAAAATCTGCTCACTAAAACTTTGTTTCTAAAATGTATTTCACAACTTAGACACAAAATCATTATTATTTTTTGACTGACAGTCTTTGAATAAGGTTTAGAATATTTGATATTTTATTTATGTATTGCCCTTGTTCTGGGTGGTATACATAACCTATTTACTTTTTCAGGATGCCCCAGTGAAGTACATAATCTGGTGATGTTGTACAACTTTGCACAGGTTTTTAATCTTATTTCTTGGAAAATGTCAACTATCTTGCTCTTTTTTTCGAAACCTGCCAAGTCTCTGGTATATGTTATATCATATCTTCCCATCAACCTGACTACTGTTCTTGGTGAAACTTCACAACAATTCTTGTTCACAGACTGCATACATTTATTACTGACCAAAACTTCACACCAGATGATCCTGCTTAGGAAGATGCTCCTGTGGAGAACCTCCCAAACTATATCTACTCTGAGGAATAACTGTTCTTTCTATATTTCTACTGTTTATTCAACAATTTCCTTCTTCTCCATTACTAACACTGTCCACTCTCATAACATGTCAAATTTCATCTCCTACACAACCATTACAATCAGTCATCATTTCTATCTTTTCACATAAACTAACCGAAGAAAGGACATAACCCTGTACTTTTATAAATTATAGAAGTATGGGCATTATGTATTAAGCTTTCCACAACAAAAGCTGGTTTTTAGATTATTTTACTTGTATAAGGAACATTCAAAAAAGGAAATGAAGCACGAAATCTTTTGATATTGCTAACTAATTTATACTTATTTGTTGTCTAAAATTATATACAGCATTTGTCGGTTTATAAGATGACCCTAAATGTTTTGAGAAAATTAAGTATAGTTCTTTGATGTTCGGTGTATCGGACGACCTCTATTCTCAAGCAAGTCTAGGATGTTACTTTTGTAAAGAAACTCTTAGAAGTTATCTTCAAACTGTACTAACCTGCTCTCTGGAGTAATAAGTACAACCACAAGTGGTTTTTTTATGCTCTTGAATTTGAAACGTTACAGACAGCTCAAAGCAGCATAACTGAAGTCACAAAAATGTAATAAACAAATTTACAAAGTTTTAATCATAGTTGAACTCCTTTTCAATTGCAAAGAAAATACAAAATCTTAAGAAACTGTGATCTGCTATAAAAACATGTTTGCAAAATTAGTGTACATTACAGAAACTAACTTTTTTATATAATAATAGCAATATTTTAGTACAACGGATGATATCTATACATTTCAAATCAAAAATGTCTTAATTAATTGTAATTAGCACGTGAGATAAATGGCTTCTAGTTATGAAGAATCCGGACATATGATACAATTTCAAATATGTTACTGTAACGCAGTACGTGGCACGATGTCAACGCACTTAGTCAAAAAAGCTAACAAAAGTAAAAGGAACAACGTAGTTCTGGTTAAATATGTTATTAACTGTTGAGTTCTTACTGGAACAATATATTTGAATCTGTGTATAAGACGAGGGGTAAAATCTAGTATTGTTTTAAGAGCAAAAAGTATCGTCTTACTCATATACACCGGCAAATACTGCATATGTATATAAAGACGAATTTTGGTTTTAAAAATGTGTCCATATATTTGTTTCATTATTACTTAAAGAACAGTTTAATAAAGAAAGTATCTAAAATATTACTAATATTAAATATTTCTATTCATTCATTAGTTGTTTCTGAGTTTATAAGAAAAATACGTGAATTAAGTATTAACTAATTAGGATTTATCAGCTACTAAAACGCAAGACGTCACTCATCCTTCGCTGACAAAAATTATGACTCGTGTTATGAGTGAGATATTTCCACCTGAACCCAAAAATTAAACTTACATTTTTCATCAACATAAGATTCTGGAAGTTTCGGGTATCCACAAGCTTTATCTTCAACTTCAACTTTAAGCCCTTCCAAAACTGAAAGTGAGAGATCGCGTACTCCATTCTTTTCGTCTATGAGAATATACCGCCGATAACGTTTAAGAGCATTTTGGATGATGTCACATTCTCGCGCATTGGATTGCAGATAGAATGTGCTTGGGTATAAAGTCAAAACTGTAGACGAATTCTGCCAAAACCGAGGAAGTGGCCATGGTGCTCCAGGTGGCGCCCTTTCTCCCTTTAAAGAAAAATGTGGATTTTTTTTTAAAATGTTGGTTTACTTTTCAGAAAATGTTGGAAATTGGTCTGAAGCGATGCCCATGCTGTTCAGAGTAACTTAAAATTTATATTTATTTGGTTGGAGATGATAATACTATTGTAATATCAGATGGAATTATAATAATTTCATTTGTTTTATAATAGATGCTTATATGTAATAGCATGAGCAAAAGCTTGCGAAATAAGATATATTTGCTGAATGATTCTGTTTCTAATATTAAATGTTTTTGTTAACGTTAATAATAGAAATTTGTGGCATCTATTGTCTTATTGTTTTTCTTGGTTTAGATCGTGCAGAGTTTACTGGGGTAGAATTGAACATTACTCATAAATTAAAACATTATTACAGCTATTTTAGAAGAAATTACTGTTGCAAAGTGCAGATAGCTAAATATCACCATGTTTTTTTGGTTCGACACATTTATGCCTAGATAAGGCTGTAATACTAACAGCGAAACATCAGTAAATAAATGCTTTCTCGAGTACTGGGGTCGTTTGTAATTAATATTATTTAATTTGTGAAGCTAGTTTTTGTTGTGAATGGGAACCAGTGAATACTCAACAAATGTTTTGAATAATAACGTCATTACTACCAAGAAAGCAACTGGAAGCCATTGTATTCCCTACTTATCCTCCGAATCTATGAATTATAGCTTCACATCAAGCGATGAAAAAACAAACAAAAACAGACATTAAAAGCACCATTCCCACGAAACGTGGTAACAACCAATCAAGTCATCACCACTCTTAGGCATTTCAATGTTTAGGTACGTTTGGGAGCTTTGACCTGCATAATTATCATCACAACTGTCATAACCCATGATGGGCGTTGTCTCAGAATACAGAGTACATTGATTTCACATCCCTAGGATATATTCTAAGTTTATGTTCTAAAAATAGGTCACTGGTGTTACTTATTATATTGCAACGAGGATATACATGACGTAGACAAAATGTTCTAGGTTGTTGAATTTGTGAAGATAAAAAATATGCATGTAGAAATAAACGCTTGTTGTTTGAAGAAATGTACAAGTTTATATTTTTATACTTGTTAACGAACAACAATAGCAATAAAATATTTTGTTGTTTATCAGAATTTGTAGTGCTTACTAGAGAGATTTAGATATTTGCCTCCCCCTCACCCAGTGGGTTAGTGGTAAGTCTGCAGGCTTACAATGTTAAAATTCGGGTTTCGATACCATTGTGTAGCTTTGCGCTTAACAGTAACCAAAACAAAGTAGGTATTTCGGCAATTGAGTTATTATGTTTTGTTTTATTGTTTTTTTTTAAGTTAAGCACAAAGCTACACAATGGGCTATCTGTGCTCTGCCCACCACGGGTATCGAAACCCGGATTCTAGCGTTGTAAGTCCGCAGACATACCGCTGTGCTACTGGGGGGCGAGTTATTATGCTACTTACTCTGATGAAGTTACAATGGTGAAACGTTGGCTGAAATAAAAAGTGTTTTTTTTTAATTATCTGGAGAGTGAAGGTAATTTTTTAGTAACTTTATTACCAAAACAACAAGAAACACTGAGACGCCTGGTTAGTTCCTTATTGTAGTGTAAACATTCCAAAAAATTATTAATGTTTTCTATGATGCAAGTATTAGCCCGAAAGTGTTTTTTTTTTTTTCAGAGAGTTATTTGCATCTACTAAAAATAAGAAAGCAAAAAAAGGCCTCTGTCAAAGTAATGTTACGGGATAACTTTTGAAAACAACTGAAGATAACATCTTTTTTATTCCTTCAAATTTATAGTTTATGATCCTTTAATACAGTTATGCAAAATTAATGTTTGTTTGTTTTTGAATTTCGCCCAAAGCTACACGAGGGCTATCTGCGCCAACCGTCCCTAATTTAGCAGTGTAAGACTAGAGGGAAGGCAGCTAGTCATCACCACCCACCGCCAACTCTTGGGCTACTCTTTTACCAACGAATAGTGGGATTGACCGTCACATTATAACGCCCCCACGGCTAAAAGGGCGAGCATGTTTGGTGGGACGGGGATGCGAACCCGCGACCCGCAGATTGCGAGTCGAGCGTCCTAACCACTTGGTCATGCCGGGCACCCGTTAATAAAGAATAGCCCAAGAGTTGTCGGTGGATGGTGTTGACCAGCTGACTTCCCTCTGATCAATCACTTCAAAATTAGGGGCGGCTAGCGTAAATAGTCATCGGATGACTTTGCGCGAAATTCAAAGAAATAAACTCTCACATTAAACCCACCCCACCAGGTATCGCACATTGAGAACCTTTTTAAAAGAGATTCTATAATTATAAAAATGAGAAACAAACGGAAAATATTTTAAACATTAAACCAATATTGTTGCAGAAAAATCTAATAATTATCTTATTGTCAATTAAGAAAGGCCCTCTCATTAAGTTAAACCTATGAGACTGTAATACGCATTTAAACACTCGATTCTTTCATCCGAAAAATGTTGCGTTTTAGATTACCTTTGATAAGGAACATTTAACAAACAATATATATTGTTACGTCTCTGGTCGTTTGGGAATATCCCGTATAATTTCTTTCGGATGAAACTAGCGACACAAGTCCTTTCTTAAATAAAACTAGTTTATTCTTTCTCAATACAACTTAGCAATACACTTAATTTCCACAGTCACTTTAACTTAAACACACGCTATAATTCACAACGATTCACGCACTTTACTTACGGTCACTAGCACATTTGACTCAATTGTCCTTCTCTATCTCTGCCTGTCTACAATTATCTATGCCGTCACTTCTTGCCGGTCTTATATATACTAAATAGAGGGTGTCTGGTAAACACTCGAGCCTTCAGGAACCTTCGAGATACTCATTACGTGTTACCAGCGTCACGTGACTTCCGCTGTCGTAACAATGTGTTACAATTTAGTGAAATTACTCTGGACTTTTAACTACATAATTTCATACTAACATCTATTCCTTAACATCGAAGACAAACATTATAATTATAATTCTTAACACAATAGAAAAGACTGACTAAACACATTGTCGAAACTGATTCAGTAAACTACTCAAAACTTTGATATTTTCCTCAAATATAATTAAGATTACAATTCATATTGTGGCATCATATATTTTATAGCTGAAGCTGCAAAGAAAAGATTTCAATCAATAAAATAAAATAATAAGATGTCAACTTCATTGTTTATTTTAAAATTTGGTACATAACATTTGAAAATAAAAAATGGAGAGAGAGAAACTACTTAAAAACTTTGTTAAAACTACATCATTCAGCAAACACGGATCAAACCAAAAGAAAAACGTTATTTTTGTAATTTTATAAATGCTAAAAACGGAAGTGGGGGGGATGGGGGGCACCACAGAGAACAGTTCAAATCATCTTATTTTAGATTTACTTTTCATAAAATGCTGGTGTGGCGCCACCTATTTTCTAGAACTATCCTGTACCTTGGCGAATGTTCTAGCATTTACTAGATATAGGGTAGTCTGGTATATAAAACATTATATACGTAACATTATTTTAAATTTACTTTTCATAAAATGCTTATAGAGAGATAAAACTAAACTAAAATACCGGTAGACAAGAATTCGATAGTTTAAGAAAAATGAGCAGAATTTGTTCTATAAGTAAGCGTACGTGCACTTTGGACGAAATGTTTTAAAAACAAGAAGCAAATGCGTATTCATTAGTTAAGTGCTTTCATCAACGAAAGTTTCCACCTGATAGTCATAGCACTTCTTATACGTATTTAAGTGTCTAATCAGAAAGAAGCCTATATAGAAACAGTAAGAAATGATTCATAAACACTCAATACGAAATTACTTCAAAATGTTTTCTGAAATATACATCAAGAAGAAGCTAACAAGTCGGTTTAAAATTAATGGAATACTCTCTGTTTGGATCCCAAGACGCGTGAACTTATTTTAAAAGAAGGGTAATTTGACCGTCTTGATTATTCTTACAATATTTCAACAGAATAAAACTTATTTCTCAACTAGCGTCCCTAACTAACTTTAAACCAGAAGGCGACGATAGCAAAGAAACCTTATCATTCTTCCGTAAAAAGAAAAACTAGCATTAGATATTTTGAAACTAAAATATCAGGAATGAAGATTTATGCTATAGTTTAATTCCAGATAAGTCTACTATTTAATTGAATTGTTAAGTCTATCAACATGCTAAAAATATAGCGTGTTTTCGTTTTTGGAAGTCGTTAGGACTTCAATGAGCAATGACAACAAGCATTTTATTTTAACTGAGTGAATGATCTTGTTATTTTAACTCAATGTTAATTAACCTGCGTTTTAAGCCTTAAGCGAAAGGTCAATTAAATATTCTGGGCTTCTGTTCTTTTCCAATAAAATCTCGGTATTCTACCAGTTTCTGAGTCGTAAAGATTCAAAACCAACTATGTCAACTGTTAGCTAAAATTGTTGTATTATCTAGAAACAAACAACCTTTAATAATTAACCTCAAGCAGATCACGCTAAGAACAAAGTAATTATCCTTTTATAGTTAGAGAGCATCAGCATAAATAAAATGACCATTACTTGTTTCTTTGATGTTGTGTGTTAAAAGGCATAAAAGTGTTAGATTTAAAAAACAATAGTTCCTGTTATTGTTAGCTGCTACTAGTAGACATTTATTGGTAGTGTTAGTCTCCTAATAACAGTAACAACAGCAGACTGTACGGTCTGTTTGTTAATATTAGTAGCATGTAACAAAGGTTGTGCATCAGATTAGCGCGAGCAATACAACGAGACTTTAAACAAATACACGCTCAATAACAGTTCTCCACTGCTAGTGTCTATTTAGTTCTGGTTTTAGATTTTTAATGGCCAATATTTTAACTACAAGAATTTCCAACTAAGAAATTTAAATAAAATCCGATTATAATTTTGGTATACGGAGTTCATAAATTTACCACTAATATACAGAATTATTTGGAAAAAAAATAAGATATAACATTAAATGTTATTTAAGTAAGAATTATTTTCCAACGAAAGTAATAACTAGTATAATCAAGGAGTACATCAAGAAAGCCTCCACCCCCTAAAGAAGCGTTGTGTAATGTGCCCAAATAACACTACTATTCACCGGTAAACATCTCTTGAAAATAACACCACTATTCACCAGTAAACATCCCTTGAAAATAAAGAAACAACCAATATCACGAGAATTCTCGAAAGTCTCTGCGTTTATTCTGTGTGGCTTAACCACAGACCTTCTAGCAGTCCTTCCTGGATTGGGTGAAATTCTGTAGCTTACGGAAAACGTGCAAAAAATACTGACAAAAAATTGTTGTTTTTTTGTATGTCTTTCAACTACTTTTTTAACAAACTCCCTTTTTTTTTGTTCCTACCCATCGATGACAGATAGGTCAGAAATATATATATATCGACCGCCAGACTGCTAATAAAGACATTTTAATATTCCCTTGCGGGTCAGAGGTAAGTTTAAGAGCTTAAGACGTCAAAATTCGAGGTTCAATTCCCGCGGCGGAGAGAGCACAGATAGCCGATTGTATAGCTTTGTGTTTATTTTTTTATTATTATTGAGAAACGTTATATATATAGCGCACAAATCGTCCAATCTTATTACGTATCGTGAACGAGATGACAAAACCTCGCTACTCGCTCAATCCGCTTTAACAGATATGTGATCAGAAATGGAACAAAGGCTGTTAGTAGCAGATAATACACAGTAATAAATGTCCGCTACTAGCAGCTAATATTTGCAGGAGCCACATCCAACTCAACTTTTTATTTAATAAGATGCCGTCCTCTGAAGTAAAATTATAAGGATAGCCATTTCAGACGTATTCTGTACGGATACAACCGTACTCCGCTCAATCGACTTTTAAAGAATTTATGCCGTCTTCCCAAAAAAATCGTTTATATATATTTTTTCACAAAACTTTGATCTGGTGGTGTATTTGATAACTATTATTTTTAACTCTGATTAAAACTAAATTTACAATATTCGGTGATCAACCAAATTCAGAAAAGTACCAAAACATCTAAATTTTTTATTGTCTTTAGATGATAAGGAGCTTCAGATTACAAATCGAGAAAAATAAAATATAATTATGTTAAACTAAACCGTCTAAACTTTGTCTTTAGGTGATAAGGAGCTTCAAATTACAAATCGAGAAAAATAAAATATAATTATAGTTCAAACTAAACCGTCTAAACTTTGTCTTTAGGTGATAAGGAGCTTCAGATTACAAGTCGAAAAAATAAAATTAAATTATATCAAACTAAACCGTCTAAACTTTGTCTTTAGGTGATAAGGAGCTTCAGATTACAAATCGAAAAAATAAAATACAATACTGTCAAACTAAACCGATAAAGTTTAAACTTTTTTATTTATTTTTCATTTGAATAAAACTAATGGTTGCTGAACTAAGAATATACTTAATTCTGAAAAACAAAGGGGGTGTTCAGCTAAACATGAATTCGCTTTTGAGCGAAACACGGGCTTCATTGACCAATGGCGTTGCTCGAATAAATTTAACGTTCGAGTAAGACGTTGAAGTGCTCGATTAAAAATGTGCCCAACTTTGAGTAAAACAGTAGGTTGGTAGATTATAGAAGTAAAATATCGGGTTAGAAGGTTAAGCATGCACCCAACTTAAGTGAATCGGGTTAGAAGGTTAAGCATGCACTCAACTTAAGCAAATCATGGGGATGTTTGACTGAAACGTTCTCAGCTTCGAATTAAACTTGGAGCTGCGAGTAAAACTTGGAGTCGTTCGCCCAAAAACATGTACTGAACGTTCAATAAAACATGGGACTGTATTGCTAAACAACTAGGTAAAACAAGGCGTTTCTTGACTACGTATTTCATCATCTTTCAATATACACTTAAACCAATACATCAGACGAGCTCAGTTTATTGTAGTAGTTACACCTTACAATACACTTAATACATCAGACGAGCTCAGCTTATTGCACTAGTTACACCTTACAATACACTTAATCCAATATATCAGACGAGCTCAGCTTATTGTACTAGTTACACCTTACAATACACTTAATACATCAGA